AACAAAATACAGTGGAATCTAAGTACTCAACTGAACAAACATGACCCACTAGAACAAATTTTTGATTTTGTTATTATTTTATTTGAATTTATTTGATTGATATTATTTGATTTATTATTATTATAGAACATATTTTTATTTTGTCATCCATAGAAACTTATGATATAAATTAAAAAATGAAGATATTGATGATATTTTTGATCAAAAGTAACAAAAAAGCTCAGAAGATGACGATACTTTGAAAAAAAGTTCTCATTTAACTAAAATTAATATTAACAGTGCTTTTAATTGTAATTGTTAGTTAATTATTGATTGCTTTAATAAACACATTTCTCTTAGTAATGAAAAAGAATTGTATACTTTTGCTAACTTCTGGAATGTAACCCTATGTTTTGCCATAGTCCTTTAATTTGCATAACATGGCACTTTTTTGGAACATGATTACAGTGTTATATGAGGGATACCTGTATTCCTAAATTAAATAAGAACTCATTCTATGATAAAAACTAAATAAAAAAACATTGTCTTACCTTAAAATAACAATATTTATAGAAGTCAACTGTGCTGTAGTACAGTACATATGTTAAAATCTTGTTTGATCTTTAAAATAGTTTTTAAAGTTATTAAATCTAAATAATACATTCATATGAAGAAAATCACAAAATAAAGTCATGTCAAATATTTTTGAAATCAGAATTATAAGTAAATATATAATAGTAATGATCTCAAATCATACTGTAATTTAATGATTCAAAATCTTTACTGTTATGCAGTATTATGATCAATGAGGTTAATGGAGATAAATATGGATTGTCAGTATGTTTTATATTGCTAATTTTTTTTTATTTGTCTACATGTATCAATATTATATTTATAAGATTTGCTACAAAAGGTAAATTATAATCTTGGTTGAAAAGACATTGGTACTTAAAGGGTAAGATTGCTCATGAGTTATTCAAAGTGTAAAGTAAAATTTTACAGTAACAATATATGAATATTATTAATCTCATTTGAGCATTTAATTATTTATTTTTTTTATATCCTATAAAACTGCCTTGGTGTTCAGCTTTTTCTGTTGTCTACAGTGTGATTATTTTTATTTTTTTTATTTTATTTTTTTTTGTCGTAGACTTAAACAATAACAAACCAGCCTTTAGAAGTTTATTAATTGTTAGGTTTTCCTCTTATTCTTCCTTGAATTGATGGCATTCTGTTTGAAAGTCAAAAAAAATTTGCTCGGTTTAATAATTGTTTTTCAAATATATTTATCCAATAATAATAATAATCAACCTTACAGAATTACAGGTTTTGTTATTGTTGTCTAATTTGTATCTTTTATCTTTTTTCTTTCTCTTTTTTTGCACTGTAGCAACAGAAAACGCTGCAGAGACACCAGGCATTAGTTCTTATGTGCAGGTTAGTAGCAAGATGGGCTCGATGGCCTACGAGTACAAAGGTGTTTTTCTTACCTTGCAGCAAATGGCGAACCTGAGGAATCAAGTGCAGAGACAGCAAGCTTTGGCTCTGATGTGCAGGTCAGCTTGTGAAGTGATGGAATACATTTATGGTTATAGGATGAAAAAATGGATTGTTCAGTCAAAATATGTACCCTTAGAGAAGTCGAGGCAGTGACGATTTGAAGTTACCCTCCGCAAGAAGAAAAGATCTCTTACAAAATATTTGACTGAAATCNTTTCCATAGAACATTGCTCTGATGCTGATTCTAATGATAATGGTATGGCTTTGCAAAAATGTTAGCCACAATTAAAAGTGTTTTTAATTTCTTTTCATTAATATGATAATTCTAAATTTTTTGTTTATAAATTATATTTAAAGCATTAATACAAAGTTATTTGGAAAATTTGACTGTTCTAAATCAGTGTTTAGACTACATTAAAATGTTTCACTTCTATGGTATTGTATGGAACTTGACAAAAGTTTCAATAGCAAAACCTTAGCAAATTCTTATAGAGACATGAGTTTCTGTAATTATTGGTTTGTATATTAATAAACATTTAAATGTAGTCCTTAACACTGAGTTAAAAGTCACAAAACAGTAGGAAGAATTACTCTTAAGCATCCGTCACTTTTTAATACATGGATTAAATTCCAGTTTTACTACATAAGATCACAATGCCTAATCGTAAGATGACTAATAGTTAAAAGTGTAGAATGCAGGTGATTTTCTAACTTTGATTTCTCCTGTTCTTTTTTCTCTTTTTCTTGTGTTTTTATGCTATGTAGTTGAAAGCAAACTGAGGGAAGTCCAACGTTTGGTACAAAGACTTGTGCTCGCTCATGCAAAACGATCAATTACAGCACAAAATGAGACATTAGCATGACTGGCTTGAGAGCGGTAAAGGTTTCTTCAGAATGCTTCTTTTTTGTGTTATAAACTGACTATCGATGAAGAGAAATATACTGTTTAAATATAAATATGTATTGTCCAAGCATTGCAATAATGCCATTGTATAAATTCAATCATTATTGCAGTGCAATCTTTCTTCTTAATAGTATAAGTTTTCTTTTTTTTCTTTATTGTTGGCATAAGCAGAAATATTTTCTTAAATATATAATTTAAAAAAAAAATCTTTTTCAAAAATTTTGTTAAAAAATAAAAAAAACGCTAATGCCATTTTTCTGTTTTACTGCAGGTGTATTTATATAATTGAGAAATATATTTTCAAAGATATAAAGCAGCATGCCTGTAGTTTAAAACAATTGTTTAGGAGATCTAGTTATTAAGTTAATTGTTCAAAATATTAAAATGTGATTAAACTGACAGAGGTTTAATTAATGATAATTTGTAATTTTAATATGTGATTTAATGTGAAAGGAAATAATGAAATAATTTAAATTTCTTACCTCATATGTCAGTAAATTCTTTAACATATCTTTCTTTGCATGCCTTTTTATAAATAAGCCAAATTAAAAATATAATTAGTTTGAGTGAAAAATATTATTTATGTACTTTTATTAATGGGAGTGTCCAAAGATTTTTTTGTACATAATAATTAAATCATTATATATAATTATAAAGTATAAATTTGGAGAAACATCCACAATGATTTTAGTTCTGTAAGAATGAAAATTTTACAAAAAGTTAAGTATGTTAATATTTTTAGAGCTTTATCATGCTCCCTAAATTGTATTCTTGTGTTGTATTCTGTCATAAGTGTATCCTGATGAGGATGTATAGTATAGAATGCATGATGGTGCTTTCTGCAAAAATTTGAATGTATAATTAGATGCATTTAATGCAATTCCAAACTGTAGAGCTATAAATTTCCACTGCTGTTTGTCTATCTGTCTTTCCCTAATCTCAAGAATGGAGTTAGATAGGTGAAAGCCAAGACCAGATTAGGGGCAGGAGGCCTCAATTAACTGTATACGAACTTCCCATGCAAACCAGAAGCACATTATTTCAATTTAAAATTTTTTCTCTGTAAGGAATTCAATAGATGATGGTATGACACTGTTGCTAACAGGGAAAGTATGATGTACAGGGGCAAGACCCTACTAATTTGAGTTAGAGAGCATATACTTATAAATTAAATAAATTTAAAAATTGCATCTTGGCACAATAGATAATTGCTCATTATATATAAATTTTTTCAGAGATTCTTTCGAAATATTTATTAAAATGAAAACTGTTTTCTCATAATATCCAAAAATTTCTTATTACAGCTATTATTAAAAATTTACTAATAAAAACAACAATAATAAACTTCTTTATATTAATAAAGTATATAATGAAAGTTTAATTTAAAACATTTTTTTAGTTTTTTAGCTAAATTAATATATACTTAAGTAAATGTATTGGCTGCATACTTAGAGTATATCAGTAAATTTATTACTGATTTAATGAAAACTAATAAAAAAATAAATGCGTTACAGCTTATTACATGGAAATTAGCTATCAATTTGTCATCCTCCAGTTTTGTTGAAGTTGTTAAACTTCAGTATGCTTACACAATACAAAAAAAAGTATTGTTACTAATGCAAACAAATTTTTAATTTTTATTAGACTAGACTGGTGTGGAGTACATTATGAAAATTATTCATTGAGTTGAAACACACTCAGATTTTTGAAATTTTCCATTTATATATAAACTTTAAGATTGATTAACTACTATGAAAACAATTAGGGGAGTTTCTCCAAATTTAAAAACTAAATAAAAAGTTCATAATTGTTTTTTGTTACATTGTTTTTGTTAAAATTTATATTAAAAAATTAGAAAATCAGCAATTTGAAGAATTTTTTTCACTTAATGTAACATTGCCATTATTTTTTATTAAAATGAAAAAATTAAAGTTAAAATTGAATAAAACAATGCGTGCTTAATTTTATGGTTTGAATTAGCCAACATTTTACTTTATAAAAATGCATACTGACTAATATTTACATGATACATATATCTTTGCAAAAATTTATATATCATATTTGAAAATGTAAATATACTTTCATTTTCAGAAGTTTTATTGGTTATAAAATTTTTATCATTAGTTTTTTTTTTTTTGTTATTAGAAATTATCAGGTAGCTTGTAAAAGTTGTCAATGATCTTATTGTAAGTTGTTAAGTTGTTTTTATAGATAAATTTTTTATCTATAAAAACAACTTAATATTTTTAATAGTTTAATTTATTTTCATATAAAATTTCTAGCTGATTGAGCAGGTTAATCATAAAACTCTGTATGATAGATCAAACCCCGTTAAGATGTCTGTTTTTTTTTGAGATTATTTTCTGAGGAAATTGTTGTAGCTATAGTCATTTATGGCATTGCTCTTGACTGATTTATTTAAAAGAATGTGTTAATTTTTTTTTTTTTTTTGAGAATGAAACAACTGAAGGAATTATTAATTTTGAAAGGCATTTAGATCAAACTATAATGTTAAAAGTATTGTTTTATTCAATTTTAATTGTTTGGACACTCCTATTTTACAGGATAAAAAATAAATTTTTTTTAATAATGCTAATTAAGTTGCTATTGCCCACAGATCTTAATGGTACAAATGGATCTGCTCAGGTGGAGCAGACTGGCCCAGTGTTGGCAGGCCCAGGTGCTATGCGATCTCCATCGTCATTGCTCGGTCTGGGATTGATCAAACTCACTAATGAACAGCAGGAAATGGTCACTAAAGCTAAGAAATATGCAATGGAACAAAGCATAAAAAATGTTTTAATGAAGCAAACAATAGCTCATCAACAACAGGTAAGATATTTTTATACAGGATGTTTCAAAAATGTATAACCACTTGAAGAGAAGTTGCTGAAGTTTACTTACATAAAGAAAAGATTTATGGTTTGAAAACAAAAAAGTTAAAAATTTAGAATTGTATTTTTCTATTTCACAAAGTTGTTCAACAGTTTTTTTTTTATCTTAAATTAATATAACATTACATTTTTAAATTTATAAATAGATAATGTATAAAGCAACAAAATAATGTTCCTAAACTTGTTTTTATATAAATATTACATAAACATGGTAGTTGTAATTAATTTTTGTACTTATTGTGATAATCTCTGACAGAATGATAGTTCCAATTTGTATAAATTTCCATTATAAAGCTTTTAAATAAAAATTCTTTCAGTTTAATGCTAGATTACTTAATTCCAAGAAGGTTTTAGTGAGTTTCTTTTATTGATAGATGCATATTTAATTGTAAAAAGTTCATAATTTTCTGTTAGCTTTCTATGTTAGGATAATTATGGTTAATGCTTAATTAATTAATTAATGATGAAATTTGGTTTTTACTTCCATATACTCTTTTCTTAATACTTTTATTTTTTTAAATAAATATCAATTTTTAACACTCGACATTTATGGTGATGGTCTCATTTTTAGAATGTGTTACTAATATTCTTTAACTTTAAAACTTTAGTATTATTTTCTAAGGATGGGAATATTTTTAAAAATAAGCAGATTAGTGATTGTTTTATAATGTTTTAAACAGTAGTTATGTAAATAAATGGAAAAAAAGGGATTAATAATATCCTGTGAGTAACAAATGCAAACATAATTAGCATTTATGAAATGTTATATCTAGAGATTGATTTAGACTTATTTCATCATGTTGTTTGAACAGTTTTATTTTAGAAAATAGATATAAATACAAATGTTAAGTTTTCATAATATTCATGAGAGATTTAAAGTAAAACACTGAACAGTCTGATACAAATGCTTATCTAGATATAGATGTAATTTTTTATTATAGTTCAAAAAATTGCTGCATGAAATATAATTATTCTGTAGATGTAATTTCTGATGATGATTTATAACATTTTTTTAAAGTTGCAAGTTTTTAATGTTTACAATTGTTATAAATTTTATATATCTGATTAAAGAAGTTGAATACTTGGATGCAATATTTAAATTTTATGAAAATATTATTTAATAAAATTAAAAACAAATCATCTGCATAGCAAAAGTGCAAGAGATAATTGATTCTTCATTAACTTAAACAATTAGATATAAAACCAATATTCCTGGTATATGTTGTTTGATAATTCAATTTAATTTTTTTTTCTTTTTCTTTTTTCTTTTTAAATTTTTTAGATTTTCCTGTATATTTATTGCCCAGGACACTACCTAAAAGATTATTCTTTAATCAGATCAACATTCTTTGTACATATTTTAGGATGCTCAATTTTCATGCAAATTCATCATATTGTATAATCTATTGAAGATTTTCTGTAATGCAGTTTTAATCAGTTTAAAGGTATTGTTATTTTTATATGCTAAATTTGTAAGTTTTGTTTTATACATTCTTTTAGATCAAATGTTTTGGTATCTGTGTAAATCACCCTGCTACACTACTTGAAGTTGAATTTTAATCCCAAGGTTTTTTACTATAGAACACTATTGTTTTAATGAGAGAGTTATACTTTTTAAATATGGCTATTTAATGTTTACATTTTCAGCACTTGCAATTAGCAGTATTTTTTATTTTTATTTTTTCTTTTGATACAGTTTTGTTATCTTTTAAAATGATAAAAGAATAATCTTTAAATGTTTGCCATATAAAAAAAGCACACACAAAAGTCCATCTCAGTGCACACTATGCAAATTTTTGGAAACAATAAACATACTCATCTATAACTGTGAGAAAATGTGACATGGCTATTGCCATTCCTCTTACTTATATTTTGAACCTTGCATTTTTCATGTTATGTTGTATATTTATTTCTGTTTTAAAAGAAAAATTTGTTTTTATGAAGAAAATAAAAATGAATGCTGGAAATTATAACATATCACAGATATGTTGAGAGTTTAAAGATTTGACAACATATTGAATTCTTATTAATTAAATGTAATTTACATGAATGTAAAAAAAATTGAAAAAAAGCAGATCATTAATATTAATAGTTAATTATTAAATATATAATTTAATTCAGTTGTTTGTAAATTTTTATATATATGTTTGTAAATTTTTATATAATAATTGGCAAATGCATCAAACAACTACCGTTTTATTTTTATGCAATTATTGTTAACTGAAAACACTGAAATGTTGCACAAATTTATAAATCTTAATTTCTAATTAGAAAATAATAATAAATGCTTACAGATAGATATCTATGAATGCATATTGCATCACATTAATTTTTTAGTTTGATGTAAAAGTAAATTAATGTTTCATTCACTACAACTAATACATATAACTCTTTATAAATAAATAACAATGTAACAGTTATCACTGGGATATTAGGCATACTTTTACAGAGTGATTTTGTATGTTTGAGTTACTTTAATTGAACTTCAAAGTATTATAGCAGGATGCCAATCAAAGATTATTTGGATCATCAAACCAGAAGTGCATCCAGGCATAGTGAGTACTTATCATTAAATATTTTGTTTGGGTATTCTTCTTACAGACACTGCCAAGTGAGCTGGTGCTCTCCTTGTTGAAATATGTCTTGATAGAAGTTTCAAACATTTTAACTCCAGAAGAATCCAATCTTCTTGATATCATATAAGGTAATTGTTTTGTATGGACTATTTGCTTCTGATCTGTTACTCCCTCAATGGAAAAGTTATTTATTGTACTGGTTTAAATTTCTTATTAAAATTAATAACAGAATGAAGCTATAAAATTCTACTGGGGAAGATAGTGAATTTTATGGTTTTATTTTGTCAGTTTAAAGAGATTATATTTTTCTTTGGAGTTTAGTATTACATTTCATTTTTAATTTGTGACCCACCCATTTAAATTCTGAATTAAATCAGTTGAAATATGGCTGACTTAACATCCAATCCATTAAGAGTTATTTTTATTAAATTTTTTTAAGTGACTGGTTAGCCAATTAATCAGCCTTGAACTATTATTTCTGTTTTGAAAACAATGTTTCAAAATCTTTGTTTTCTTTTTTTTGTCTTGTATTTCTAGTTTGAAATCCTGTATATCATTTTGCCTGATGATGCTCGTTGCGGTCCGAAAAGCTTTGCTTAGTAAAGCGAATATGTTAAGCACTTAAGTTTTGCTTCTCTAGCTGTACTGCTGTACATCATTGTACTACTGCTCAGAATTTATCTGATGCATCTCAAATTTTCAGGTAGGTCAAATACAACTCACTTGCCTGATGGGATTACACCACTAATAACATAGTATATATTTAAGGATCATTCTTCAACTTTGCATCTTAAAATTATTCAAAATAATCAAATATCTCATCAGATATTTAATGTAAAACAAAAGATGTATGTTTAAAAAAACACAATAGTATTACATTTATAGTAAAATCAACTCTCTTCAAGTGGCTAAACAATATTTTTGAATCATCCTGTATAAATATCTAATATAGCTTTTTATTTCACTCAGAGAATATTTAAATTAACAAATGTGAGTATGTATTCTGTAGAATTATTTATATTATTTGACAACTCATAAGTAATCAAGTTTTTAAATTTTATGTATTATTATTAATCTTACATTATCATATTTAATAATATAAAATAAGAGTAATAAATGGAAAGTTAAATAATATTTTATAATAGACAGACAAGTATATGTTACTTAAATAAATTTTTAAATACTTTTTATTGTTGGTTTATTATACCCAAAAATTATGTAATTTCTACATTATGAAAAAATTTGATTATAATTAAGAGAAGTAATCTTTGTCAGATTTTAATTATAGAATTTAATGTTTGTTAAGTATTTAGACTTTACACCATTAAAAAGAAAAAAAATTAGTATTCCTTCTGGCATTAATTATTTTTAATTAAAATTAAGTTTCAAAAGTATAAAACAATTTCATAATAAAATATAAACACTTCAAAATTTTAAAAATGCAAAATGTTATGCATGGCATAATGGTTTATTTAGAATGTTTACATTCTAAAAATAAGTGATATTAAACTTTGAAATGTTCTTGTGAATTTTGTTAAGTGAGCAGACATTTAAAGAATGTATAATTTAATAATAAATAAATAGTAATTCCTGATTGGCAGTAAGATAAATTTTCAAAGCATATAAATATTATTACAATGTGTGTTTTCTGTACAGCCATTTTTTAATGTTCATTGGTTCAGTTGAGTTAGCACAATATCCTGGCTGTCTCACTTCAGACCTCATCTCAGTGGATTTCTTTGTAAGAAATATAAGGATTTATCGAAGAGATGGTATTAATTGTATCGCTTAAATGTTTTCAAGATCAGAATCAGGAATGCTATTATAGATGTCACAGTTCAGATAGAAGCCAGAGTAATAACAAAAAATTTATTATTGATGGAACATATGCCTTACAATGGCAGGAAGTCACATTGAAATTGCAATATGATTGCTAGTTACAGAATTTTGTGTTTTGATAAGTCACACTTAATGTACTGGATGAAATAAATAAATCAATACAATTTACATTTGAAATTGTAAAATTATTTTACATTTACTCTATAGTTTCTCTAAAGATTTACTTCTCCAAGAAAATTCTATTAAATTTTATATTGATAATTATATTATATTGATATTATATTAAATATTAAGTATGATAAAAACTAAATAAAAAAACATTGTCTTACCTTAAAATAACAATATTTATAGAAGTCAACTGTGCTGTAGTACAGTACATATGTTAAAATCTTGTTTGATCTTTAAAATAGTTTTTAAAGTTATTAAATCTAAATAATACATTCATATGAAGAAAATCACAAAATAAAGTCATGTCAAATATTTTTGAAATCAGAATTATAAGTAAATATATAATAGTAATGATCTCAAATCATACTGTAATTTAATGATTCAAAATCTTTACTGTTATGCAGTATTATGATCAATGAGGTTAATGGAGATAAATATGGATTGTCAGTATGTTTTATATTGCTAATTTTTTTTTATTTGTCTACATGTATCAATATTATATTTATAAGATTTGCTACAAAAGGTAAATTATAATCTTGGTTGAAAAGACATTGGTACTTAAAGGGTAAGATTGCTCATGAGTTATTCAAAGTGTAAAGTAAAATTTTACAGTAACAATATATGAATATTATTAATCTCATTTGAGCATTTAATTATTTATTTTTTTTATATCCTATAAAACTGCCTTGGTGTTCAGCTTTTTCTGTTGTCTACAGTGTGATTATTTTTATTTTTTTTATTTTATTTTTTTTTGTCGTAGACTTAAACAATAACAAACCAGCCTTTAGAAGTTTATTAATTGTTAGGTTTTCCTCTTATTCTTCCTTGAATTGATGGCATTCTGTTTGAAAGTCAAAAAAAATTTGCTCGGTTTAATAATTGTTTTTCAAATATATTTATCCAATAATAATAATAATCAACCTTACAGAATTACAGGTTTTGTTATTGTTGTCTAATTTGTATCTTTTATCTTTTTTCTTTCTCTTTTTTTGCACTGTAGCAACAGAAAACGCTGCAGAGACACCAGGCATTAGTTCTTATGTGCAGGTTAGTAGCAAGATGGGCTCGATGGCCTACGAGTACAAAGGTGTTTTTCTTACCTTGCAGCAAATGGCGAACCTGAGGAATCAAGTGCAGAGACAGCAAGCTTTGGCTCTGATGTGCAGGTCAGCTTGTGAAGTGATGGAATACATTTATGGTTATAGGATGAAAAAATGGATTGTTCAGTCAAAATATGTACCCTTAGAGAAGTCGAGGCAGTGACGATTTGAAGTTACCCTCCGCAAGAAGAAAAGATCTCTTACAAAATATTTGACTGAAATCCTTAATTATATTAATTATACAGATTTTATTCTAAAAATTCTTGAGAGTTTGAAATAATACAGATTACTGTTTTCATCAGCATTAGAAATAAATGAAAAAGTTTTGTTCCATATGAGAACAAATAGGAGAANTATCGTTTTTTTTTTTTTTTTTTTTTAGATGTGAAAATACAGCTGTCCCTTGATTCCAACGTTTTGTAATCTGACATGCTCAGTAGTCTGACGCACCTCCCGTCAAGGTACCTGTCCCAGTTACGTGTCTGCTTGCACAGAAGCATGTCGTGACGTGAATCTTCCCACCCAATTCTTACACGATGACACATATTTTGTGTGTTTTCCATGAGCAGTTCTGTTCGAACAGTTAGATTAGGGAATATTGTAGGCTACTGCTAGCAAAAACAATGCCAAATATGTAATCACTTTCGGTAATCTGACACCGCTTTGGTCCCATACCTGTCAGATTATCAAGGGACTGCTGTAATATCAAAGGTCAAAAACATTGAATAGAAGTTTTATTTATTATTAATAGTTCTGGATAGTATATACCAGAAATGATCAGGTACGAGTGATCTCTAAGTACAAGTAAAATATATTTTTGACAAATAAGACATTTCAGGAATGTGAATATTTATTTTTAATATTTTTCAAATTTTTGTTTTATGGTTGACATCAACTATAATGACAAGAGTAAAATAGGCAGTATAGCCTAATTTATTCAATTTTTTGCAGAATTAGATATACATTGCTGTCAAATCTGATTCACACAACTGGCAAAATTGAGATGACAATTGGCATTAACCTATTCAATGTTGAAATTTTTATTTGTTGTCTGTGATGCCATGTTGAATTTTCGTCGGTGTTAAACCTAAATTTTTTTTAAAAATAATAATCGTGTTTACTGTATCATAAAAAATTATTTTTTTATGTTTCACAAACAAAATATATATATAGAATAATATAAAAACAAAAAAAATTTATTTTAAAAGTTCATTTTAATATAAAAATTGTGATGCAAAGCGACATCTAGTATCAAAAACGTTCCGATGTAAACACGGAAATATTCGGGATCGCCCATGCAGGTCAATGAGGTCAACACGGATATTTTCGGGATCAACATAGGACAGGTTAACAACTCTTTCCATCTGTTCTCTCTTGATCTTTATGATCAACAAAACAATTGACCAATCTTGTCAGTCACTTTAATTATTGTTGATTGTTTGAAAATTGTGATATAATTATATTAATTATATCATAATTTTGTTGCTTTTGTATCAGCCCATAATTTGAAAATTTGGAAAATGATGATATTTATTTTATTGTCAAGTAATGAAAATAATTAATGGTTAACTTTAAAATATATTGGTGTGTACTAATAATGATTCTAATTGAAAATAAGGAAATTTTGCTACAGTGACTTTACATTTTTATTCAAATTTAAATTTATTTTCTCGAAATATTTGATACTCTGTTAATATAAAAAAACATTATTGAAAAGCATTAAAGTAATAAACAAATTACAGAAACTGAAAATCATTTCAATCTCTTAAGATTTATGTAATGTCATTTTTAGAATATTTAATGAAAATTTTTAAATTATTAAGTACAATATTCAAAAATTCATTATTCAATGAGTAAATGTGGGAATATAGCTTAAAGGGTGTATAGTGCTTATAGTGCTTAACTAGTTGTGTTTATAATAACAAGATTTTAATAGATTATAATCTTAGAAATTGTCATTGCAGTAGCTTGGCTTGTTTCATTTATTGCTTATAGTGTTTAAAAATTATATTACACAATTTCAAAAATATTTTCTTTAATCTGAGTAGTTTTTGAGTGCAGCTGTTTGTAAGAATTGAGTTGATATTCAGATTTCTTAAATTCAATTTAAAACTGAATTTTCTTATTACACAGGTTTTCCAAAACAAATGTTAACATTTTCAATTGTCGGAGAATGTTGGATAATAATTAACATAACAATTTATATTAAAACATTGGAACTGTCCAAGTTTCACATTTGCTCATTACAATTTCTCAATGTATGCACCTTGTGTCACACAGCACACATTCAACCAACGCTCAGATTCTTCCTATGCTTGCTATGGCATGTCACTCCACTCACAGCAGCCGCATTAATGAGTGATTCCACTTTCTAGTATAGGTTTTAGCCTTCACAAAACATAAAATACCTTCTCTGTTGTTAAGTTGCCATTTTTGTTTATGGTCCTTCCTAGAGCTGCTAGTTATCAAGACATTGATTGTAGATGGGATTCAGATGGTTTTTCTATCAATTGTACATATTTCTTGGGTAATAATTAACATAATTATGGTAATTTAAAATGGTGGTATTCATTTTTGAAGACCCTGTATATTTAATTCTTGGTGTCATTAAAAGCATTATTAGAGATGATTTTTGTTGATATCTCTATATAATGTTTTGCATGTAAAATACATTCTCAAACTTTTATGCTTTTCTGAACTTGCAAATCTAGTTTTGCATCTAAATCAGAGATCACACTATCCAGTCTCTTGTGAATAGCCATTTCACAGAGTTCTTTGTCACTAGTTACAGATTACAAATATCTGACAGATGAAAAGTGAAATTTTTATAAAAATTTGAGAATATTTCGCAGGTTAAAAAAACTTTCACAAAAATATTTTAAATTTCAATTTTTGTATTGTATGTAGTTGCAAAGATACTTTTAAGACATGCTGTGCTATTAAAATTTTATAATATTGAAAATTGACATGGCTACATCAAGATGAATTTCAATTGAATACTTCAAAGTGGCAGGTATTAGTGATACTTCAATTGGAAGTATCTCTGTGATACTTAATGGATAGAAAGATATTCCATGAATTCCTTTGTGAAAATTTTCAGGGAAGGGGGAAATATATACATTTCATGTAATGAGTAATTTTTAAATTACACATTTTCTAATTCTGAAAACACTGTGCAATCATAATTCAAAAAAATATGTGCCTTTTTTTTATAATAGTTTCATCAAGTTTTTTTATACATGTTCTTTGTGATAACCAGAATGGATAATTTAAAAAAAAATTTCAAAATTTACATTATTTTAATTGCATGTGTTTGTTTATTCCACTTAAAATACATGTGCGTTTATATCTTTATATTGGCCTTTTATCCTTCTGTCACATCTTGATTTTCCACTAGTTGAGACTTACCTGTACCGAGTTGGAAAAATGTTTTACAGCTGATTTCTTTCTTTGCACAGGCCTTTTTTCTTAATACAAATTTTAAAATGATTAATGGTGGTATTATGCACACTTTCATTTCAAAAATTAATCACTATACTTTTTAACTAATTGTCAGCTTCTAATTTGTGATCCTTTCAGCATAAAATCACAGGTAACACAAGCCATTACATGCTATATATATAGTTTACACGTTTTAAATTCAAAGATAGAACAGATGAATAAACTTGTTTAGAATATATATATATATATTCTAAAAAAGTTTATTTAAAATGTGTGAAGCTTATTAAACTGAGCTAGAACTGAAAAATTTCCTTCCAAATAAATTTATAGAAAATGCTCTAATTATTGAATTAGAATACCTAATTGATTTTGTTTATTTGAAAATATCATTGAATAATGAATGAACAATTAGTATTTAAAGTGGAATTGTGATCTAATATTGGAAGAAAATAATTAAATTATCCAATTTTAGCATTTATAATCAAAATTAGAAGTAACAATACTAGATTGCAATATATTTATATTTTATAGAGAGTTTTATAGATGTAGCAGTTTTGTTTTATAAAATTGAGATAGATCTGACAATGTCAAATGCACTAATTTTGAGACCTCTGTACTTACCTAAAAGGTAGTTAAATATTGCTTGCGAAGTGTTTAAAGAAATATCAAAATATTATAATAAATTTAATAATGCTAAAAGCAATTAATGTTGTTCTGGCAATTAACTGTTGATATAAAGTAGACAACAAATTTTAACAATTCCAAAATTATATCATTGCTACAGTAACAAATTTGTTTCTGACGGTTAATAGAAAATTAACAGTTTGTGTCAAAATGGGTGTAATGGCATTCAGTATCTACATTTAATAATATAGTGTAAACCAACTTATTAATATGTTACGTTAAATTAATTCTGTAAGTTGAAAATTCGAAGAAATTTTCCAAATTAAATTTTTAACAAAAATTCTTATTCTTTAATTGATAGTCTGTCCAAACTCTTTCCAGCTTCTCTAAATTTTGTCCCTTCTTGTCATTAATGATAACATTTACTGTAGTTTTTAGTTATTTATACTACAGAATCATAAGACAAATAATTTGTTATAAAATTTTGAAATTAACAATTAATTCTATTTAAAAAATAAGTATGTGAACATTTTAAATGATATTTTAAATAATGAAAATGCAAATGTTATTAATCAATACACAATTCATTATAAATGATCAAATATAGTTTATCCAAATTATTGATGAAAGACTGACAATAATGTGAAATTTAATATCTAGATGTTGAGTTACAAATACTTAAAAACCAGTTCTGGGTGTTTATATTTGTTTTCTGTAAATACTAAGTATTTCCTTAGATAAAAATATACAGTGGAACCCCAGTTAACGAACTTAATCCGTTCCGCGACTCCGTTCGTTAACCGAATTGTTCGTTAACCGAAGCAATTTTTCCCATAGAAATTAATGCAAATGCAATTAATTTGTTCTAGTCTCCAAAACTTTGGCATTTTATTTGTAATATACAGTAATTTTCTTTGATGAAAATGTAGGAAAACATAGTATCTATCATTACAGCAACAAACATGTAAACTTTGTTTAATAAAATAGCACTGTACATACACTCATTTGTTGTAGTTGGTGGCAGAAAAGTGGAGATATACAAACCTTAATGCTTAGAAGGGGAATCCCCTCCAAAAAAATAACGGGTAGCACTTCATCGGAAGATTCTTCGAGTTGAAGTCTCTTTCGGTAAAAAAAAACCACCAGTGGCTAAGTGGTCTTTGTACCTTGAACACGGGGAGTTCGTTCGTGGGTTCGCACCTCACTCTGATGGGCTGACCACGTGGAGTTTTCTGGGATTTCTCCACATCTGTAACGCCTGTAAATAGGGGCCAGTTTCCCTTAAAAATACCTCCCAGAAGACATTCCCCCTAGTCAGATCGCCCAAGTGTTGCGTTGCCATAACTTAACAAAGAAACAAACTCTTTCTGTAAGGAATAAGAAATTGATCTAAAATTGATTGTCTTACTCTTTTAAGCAAAATCTTTCTCAAATGTGATAGCGCATTGTCGTTTTCTATTGCCATTATGACTTTTTCTTTCGTTGATGCCATATTGATGAAATACTGTATATAAATTACAAAACTGAAAAAAGAAGTATAGTACAAACACTCGGAAAAGCAATGCTTAACTTGCGCATGCCTAACGCCAACTAAAATTTGACACAAAATATCATTATGTTCGTTATCCGAGACAAAATTTTTGCAAAATAAAAGTTCGTTAACCAATTGGGTCATTAACCGGGGTTCCACTGTACTTTTTGATTAGTATTACCTTGTAATATTAATTTATAGTGTATCCTAAATGTCTTGAACCATAGGAATTATGTTGAACTTCAATTATTCTTGCACGTAAATCATGGTACTAAGTGAGCAGGAACAAATTTGAGTTATTTTGATGGTGGGAAATTGACAGAATTCCTGACTAGTCTAACAAGCTGCATCCAGACTTCCATATGCAATTGGAGGAAGGTTTGGATACAGCCTATTAAACTGTTTGGCAACTTTGTGCTGACTGCAGATCCTCATCATTGAAATAACTTGAGTTTGTTCCTCCTTACTTGGCTATGTTTTACCTGTAAAACAGCAAATAAAGATTAATGTAACACTTATGGTTCCAGACTTACAGAAAGCTCTATAATGAAAACTCTATGGGAAATGGACTCATTTATATCTTAAACAATAAAGCAGAAATATACCAAAAATATTGTGAGTTGATGAGTATTAATGATTCTATCTCTGAGAAAGAATTGCATGAGTAGTTTTGTGATTTTGTAATTGCCAAAATGTCAGTCTGTGATAAAATGCTGAGTTTTATATGAATTTTATGCAAATATATTGAAACAAGATTTACTTGTATATTTTTAATAAATTTAAAGATTATATATAATTTTGTTTAGAATAATAGATTTCATTTAAAATAGCAATGGTTGTTAGATTAAATTAATTTGACAGGCAATTTAATTTTATTACTACTAAATTTCAGTACAGAGATAAATGTCATTAAAATTGAATTTCAAATTAATTAGTTTCTTTGTATAATAACAATTCAGATTTTTACAGAGGACAAATTATAGCATTTATGAGATTAAAGAAGAGGTAATTACAGTTCATACAAATTCAAACATGTCAAATTTTCTGCTAAGTTCACAGCAAACAAGAGTGAAAATATAGTTTTTAAATTATGAAATTATTTGAAATGGGTCCAGTTTATTGCAGTAATTTAGCAGTAACAGCTTTATCTGTATAATTTTTAAATTTATTTTTTATTGTGTTCTTTATCCTCAGTTAGAAAAGAGTTTGTACAGACTATAAATTGATAAATTCAATTTTCTTTTTCTTTTTTTTTTCACTATTCTCATTTATAGTTTAAAAATAATTTGCTGTATTCTTTAGTTATAGATATTGTAGGCCTCAAAAATCAGAAGAAAATGCAGATATGTTGCTTAATAATTAACGTTGGCATTGGTTTTTTTATTTGCCACAGGGTGTATGTTGGAAGCATCAGTTTCGAACTGAAGGAAGACACTATCAGGCAAGCTTTTCTTCCATTCGGTCCAATAAAGTCTATCAATATGTCTTGGGATCCAGTGACGCAAAAGCATAAAGGTTTTGCATTCGTAGAGTATGAATTACCAGAAGCGGCACAGTTGGCACTAGACCAGATGAATGGAGTTATGATCGGTGGACGAAACATTAAGGTAATTTAAATTTGAGCCTTAAATTTAAGTTTTAATCTGAATTCTATCAGCCCTGAAGGTCTCTGTACACTTTTGATATGGGAATCTGGTCTTGCCATAAAAGATGAAATGTGCTGTACCTGAATAAGTGCATCAAGCAAAGATTGATGTCCTGTATCTGGGAAAATTATATATATAACATACAAGATGCATTCCATAAGTAATGCAACCAATTTTTTCATGATGCGATGATACGCTGTATGTAGTTCTAACCTGCTGCACTAGGTGGCATGGGGCGTTGGCTTCAAAACTCGCTCGGTCTCATTTGCTTCCAAGCTGCCAGTGGGTGAGGACATTCGTTCCCATGAACCCCATTTTGAGTTAATGTAACATGGTGCAATGGATTATTTTGTGGAGCAATGTTACGCTATCAAATTTTTTGTTAAACTTGGGAAGTCTGCCACCAAAACCTTTACATTAATTCAGCAGGCCTTTGGGAGTGATAGCTTGTCCAAATCCCAAGAAGGCACACATGAGCAAGTCCAGGATCCAAAACCATGCTCATTGTCTTCTTTGATGTCAGAGGCATTATCCACCATGAATTCGTACCTGCTGGGTCCACTGTAAATGCAGCTTTCTACTTGTAAGTGCTCAAAAGACTGAAAAGGAGGGTTGCGCACTGCCAAAATGACATCAAGGACATGTGGAAACTTCATCACAACAACGCGCCAAGCCACAGTGCCTTCATTGTCAACAATTTCCTGGCCAGGACCCACAGCCATCTTACAGTCCTGACCTGGCTCCTGCCGACTTGATTTTGTTTCCTTGCTTAAAAGGGGCCATGAAAGGGAAACATTGGGACGTGATTGAAAACATCAAGGCTTATGTTACATCATCTCTGAAGGACATTCCAGAGAAGGCCTTTCAGAATTCCTTCCAGGCCTGGAAACACCGCCTTCGCAAGTGTATCGATGCAGGAGGGTGCTATTTCGAAGATTTTTGACTAATTGTAAGAATATGTTCAATAAATGATTTTTTATGAATTTGATCACATTTATTATGGAACGCACCTTGTATATGACAAATGTGTGTTTTGGTTAGACAGATGAGCTGCTATTATGCCAATAAGATATTGAATTACTTGAAGAAGATTATACAGTTTGTTGAGGTAAAAGAGTAACTCTGTAAACATATGCCCAGAATAATCTGGTTGTATTCTGACCAGATGATTCTGGTTAATATTGAAAGCTGCTGTAAGAAAGTTGTCTAATCAGAAGGATACATCAGTTGATAGGGAGGGATGAAGCATTACTACAAAGAACTTGATCATTCACTTGTACAGAAGTTGGCAATGGACACTAAGAAAACATTTGATCAAGTCTGTCAGTTTGGAGTGACTGAGAACCCTGCTAATATACAGGGGGTTTCAAAAACATAAACTTCAAGGAGTTATAGAAGACATCAAAACAATCACGTTTTGTTAATAAACTCTTGTTTGCAAATGAGTTATTTTGGCAATAGAGCACATTAAAGTTTTAATTTAGAGCCACCATGCAATGGCCAGCGAGAACTGGAGCATTTTGTTTTCTTGCTTTTGTTGTTACGTTGGGATTAAAAAAACAATAATAAAGATACCTTTATTCTAATGAAGGTTGTTGAAAATTTTCAAGAAGACAGTAGTTTTTACTACTGACTGGTAACCTTATACCTTCAAGTTTCATTTTTTATTCAATTACCTATTCAAAATTCTTCTTCAAATTGAACAATAATTTTTCTTTTGAAGAACTGGCTAGATTTATCTTGTTTATGGTGAAGTAAATTGTAATGGACAAGAAGCTGAATGCTTGTACAAAGAAAGATGTCCCAAGTAACCATTGAGATCTTCTGGCAAGAGTCATGGTCATTTGGACACATGCATGCTATCTCAGGAATATTCCATGAAGTCTGAAACTGTGAATTGACAGTGTAATCTCCATGTTGAAGTATATAATTGCCATTTTGAGCACCTGATGTAAATTCAAATAATTTGCTCTCTTGTCAAAATAGCTCATTCATGGATATGCGTTTATTAAGAAAAAGCGATTGTTTTGGTGTCCTCTATAACTCCCAAAGTTTGTCAGTATGTTTTGAAACACCCTGTGTATTTTCTAAAAGGTAATATTAAACATTAGTCTTACAGTATTCAATAAAAAAAATCATATTTGAAATCAGTTTAGGTTTTTAGTACTTGCCCATTAGAATAATTTAAGAACAACTTGTTTAGAAATAGATTTCCTTGTTGCAAACTTATATTATTATTTTATTGGATAAAATTTCGTATAATTCAGAATAAATGTTTACATAATAGAGAGGTTGTGGACGAAGTTCAAACGTTAAACTTGTATGGCAAGCAGAAGTTTACGTTTGACGTTTGAATTCCAAGTAAAACATGTTGCGCCACACGTTCACATCACTCACTGACTCATTGTTGAAAAATGATGGAAACATTTAATAACAATGAATTTTACTAGTGAAGGTAAATAAACAAATTAAACTATTTTAAAGTATTTATAGGATGTTTAATAACACTAAATAATAATTTTTAATTAGCATCATGTCTCCTACCGTGATAGGACGACCTCATACTTTTGTTGAGGGAAGTATTTTTGTAGTGGCTTATGTAAATCTGAAAGCAGCTTGGGAAATTATTTTTAGAAAATTTACAAACGTATTACACTGTGGATGGTAGAAGATGCTGTGAAAGAACAAACCTACTCCTACAGAATTATGATAAGCTACTATGAATAGAAATATATGTAAATTCTATAAGCACTTCACGTCACTTGCAAAAAAATTGAATAATTAAATAATTTCTGGATTAAAATCCTCTGTTTCTTTACAATATTATTCATAAATGCTTAAATAATCATTATTTTAATAAAATACATCATAATTTTAACTCCAAATACAAAAAAATGAAGAAGTTTAAGCCCAACTTCTACTTGCCATGCTAGACATAGCGAACACCATTATCAACCTTCTAGAATTGCCAGATGGTAGTGCTTGATGTCCGACGTTCACATTTTGGGCTGAAAATGTCAGCTGCAATCTCTCTAATACTTGGGTTAAGTAAATTTTGCAAAATATAAATAGTATGGCAAAAGACAAGAACAAGAAAATTTTCAATGGAATGTTTTACATTTTTCACAGGTTCTGTCATATGAAATAGAATGAAATCTTAAAAAAACATGTCTAGTTCTTTTAAATTTGAGAATATTTTTTGTTTAGTAGAATTCATTACAAGTTGCATAATGACTCATACAATATTTTTATCAAAGTAAGATATAATATTAGAGAAAAACAACACTCATTCCTCTCCAGTTATAAAATGTACAAAAGTGAGCCTTGTGTATTTACTTAATCCTTCTAAAATTCATTATTTAGAATACATAAAAATCTTCTAAATGTTCTTTTTTCTTGATAGTACAAAGAAGACTTCTAATAAATACTTCAAATTACGTTTATCACATGAAATATGACCAGTATATAACTTAATTAAAAATTGAAAGATCTATTAACTTGTATTAATAATTAACTTTCAAACATTTTGGTTGTAATTGAATTTTTGTTAAGAAAACAGTTAAATACATCAGTTGCTAAATAATTTTGTTGATCAGAGAATATTATTAACTCTGATTTACATAAAATCTTATAGAAGAAACAAGTTTAAAATATATTTGAAATAATTATTCTTAAACTGCTTTAAATTTAAAAAATTCACACACATTTTCGGATAGGTTGGAAGACCTAGTAATATGCCACAAGCCGCACCTATTATTGAACAAATCATGGAAGAAGCAAAAACATACAATCGAATATATGTTGCATCAGTTCATCAAGATTTAACAGAACAAGACATTCAAAGGTAAATCTTTGCAATTTGTTTATCATGAAATACCATTGCATCTGTGTGTTTAAATTTACTGGTATTTTTAGTGTTTTTGAAGCTTTTGGTAGAATAAAAATGTGCAAACTAGCATCTGGTAGCATACCAGGGAAACATAAGTAAGTTGATCATTTAAGTAATTAATTTTATGTTTTTTTTTCCAAGGTTTATATTGTTATTTTCTTACTTTTATAGAGGATATGGGTTTATTGAATATGAAACTGCTCAAGCAGCTCAAGACGCAATTTCTTCAATGAATCTTTTTGATCTCGGCGGACAGTATTTGCGAGTCGGAAGAGTAAATATTATATTTTTAATATTTTAGATGAACATTAGTATAAATTAAACATCATGTATTGAAAATAATTATAATTAATTTTAGACAATTACTCCACCAAATGCATTGCAAACTCCAACAACTTCTAGTACAATGCCAACGGCTGCCGCCGTTGCTGCGGCTGCCGCAACTGCCAAAATCCAAGCTATGGATGCCGTAGCTAGCAACGCATTGGTATGTATAAATAATTATTTTGTAGAAAATTTTCAAACAATGCTTTATAAAATTATTTTAGTTTGAATTTATAAATTATTTGCAAAAAGAAAAAATATGCATTAAATTTAAATATTCTTTATTCTTTATTTAACATTATTCTTAATCAGAATTAAATTATCTTTTGAATGTTTAAAGCATGATGGCTGCTTTATCAATATATTTTTGTTCTTTACGACTTAAACACACAACAAATTAGTCATTTTTAAATTATATATTCGTAACAAAAATATGCATTGTTTATCACAGACTTTTGATGGTCAGCACTTCAGCATTTCTGAGGTTAGTGTCTGTATTTCTCTAACCAGCTAGACTCTTGCTTTTTCTGATTTTTCCCCCTAAAAGTTTCCTGCTGCAGTATTTTTACATACATACTTAATTTGCTTTTATCATTTAGCCATGTTATCATTCTTAAATATGCAATCAATATAACATTCTAAAGTTTCTTTTGATGCATTTCATCAGGTTCTCGGTCTCGGGGCTCCACCTGCAGCGGTCTCATCTCCCCCGCACACTGGTCTGAGTCCTGTAATTCCGCCCCCAGGACTAGCTATTCCTACTATAGGACCTCCTGGACTTGTAAATCCTCCTATTTTACCTCAGCCAGTTTTAGCTGCTAATGCGCCTGGTATTATTACAGGTAAGTACAGTACATTTGTTTTGTATGAACTTACCATTAAAATTTATAAGATTGATAAAAATACTTATTTTTCATAAAATTTAATATTAGCAATGTTTTAAGCACTTTTTATTGTATGTTAATTATTTTTGTGTTAATATACAAATCAGTAAACTATCAGTTAGTATAAAATATAAATAATATAAACAAATTTTGACAATAAAACAATTTCTTCCTCACTTTGATCTTATAAATGTAAAATAATTTTGAGAGAATTTATATAATAAATTGAATGTCAATTAAATCACTGTGTTCCTGCTGTCAGTTGCAATATTTGTATTTTGTGCAAGTTTCAAAAAAAATGGTAAAAACAAGTTGAAGTTGATGAGACAAATGGCAAATGCATATGTTGCGGCAGAAAAAACTGCTTGCATGTGGTAGAAGGGGCCAAGAATGTATTTCCTTGATACATTTGCTTTGGTATTGTAATTTGTTCGAAGATTGTGTGTAATTGAAAAATCCCAAATGAGCAAAGTGGTGTAAAAAAATGATTAGTGTACATTTTCTATAACTTAATCTATTTAACTGTTTTTAATTGAACATTCTTTTGAATGAATTGCTATTTTCAATTTTTAAAAGATTAGTTTCTTTAAAGTAAACTTTTTCATTAGTTAAAATTGTTAATTTGAGAAAGATATGTTTTTGGAATTGCCAAGTTATTAAAAGTTTAAAATAAGATGTTTTATTACATGTTTAAAAGTAATTTATCTTGTTATTAAATCACAATTGTAAATTTATATGGCATTAAAAAAGGATAAAAAAAAACAGTTATTAATTAATTTATTATTTATCAATGAATTCATAATCTGTTACCAATGTCCTCGCAGCATTTGCAAAGCAACAAGGAATTGAAGTATACTGAAATCAGGCAGCGATTATTAAACCTACAAGATCAATACAAGCGGTGAAACACCTGGAAAAGGTTGCGATACACAAGGCGCATACGACCGCGCAGTGCATCAACCACAGAGATGCTGAAAGTTTATTAACAGCCTGGAAGTCCTTTTATGATAATGTAGATTAATTATTACAACCGCATAGGTGGCGTTATTAATTGTTTTTATAATATTACTTGATATATAATGATGTTATTTTTAATTGTTTAGGTTTAATCTATACGTTTTATAAGTACGCGCATGCGCTTTAGCGTTAAGTTGTAAATAAGCGTTGTGAAATTTTTTGTATTTTTCCAAATACTTTGTTCATTATATAGTTTGAATTTTGAACTGAAGAAGGTCGATTAAAACGATTGAAAACGTTTTTCAACGCATTAAAATTGTGCTGGAATAGAGAAAGGTGTTTATTTATTTTTATTGTTACCAATATATAAATTTGTCTTAAATATCCTGAATATATTGAAATATTAATAAACTGAATCAAAATTTAATTGGAAATTACCTTTTACATTATATAATCAAAAAATTATTAAAATGAAAAATGATGAAAGATACTTGAAATTTTTTGCATTTTGTTTTCAATTATAGACCAGTTCATTAATATTTAATAACTCCTCAAACAGGGGTGAATGAATAATTCAGAGCTCAAAGTTAAAATATTTCAAAAAGATTTCATGGATGTTAGATTATTAAGAATACTAGCAGATGAGTGCAGTGTTGTTTAGGCAAAAACTAAAATCGTCAAAGATTAATATTATTAGATTATTTCATATTTCTTACCTTTCTGTTATATTATATTATAGTATTTGATTTATATATACAAAGATTGTCTTACATAAGGGTTTATCACATCAAGTGATCAATCTAACACATTTTAAAAATTCTTTAAATTGTGTACAGTAGAAGAATTAAGAATTTTTAAAATGTGTTAGATTGGTTACTCAGTGTGATAAACTCTTACATAAAATAAACTTTGCTGTTATATAAATCAAATACCATGATACAATAAATATTAAAATGAAAATCATATAAAGAGTTTGGCTATTTCAGCCTATCAATGTCATGTTTATTACAATAATTAAATGGTACGAAATGGCACAATTTCATTGGTGAAAGTAGACATCCATTGAAAATATTTTTTCTAATCTTTAACTCTAAGAAAGTGTGCCATTCATATTCAAATATCAAATGGTAATCTTCCAACAAATCAAATTTTGCAAAGAAAAAAATGGGGGGACCAAATCTTGGCACCTTGAAAAAACTGCTTAAAGCATATTTTGTGCAGGCTGGTAACCTTGTATTGTGTAATTTTCTTATTTGAATGTCACCATAATACTGGGCTGATGGAAAGAAGGGACTGTTGTGGATGGGAATTGAAGTAAATTCAATCAAAAGTAGTCATTGACTTCCTCCTGGAATAGAGAGTGGTCAATGACTACTAATTAATACCAGTCTATTATTATTAATATTTGAAAAATGTTGGATAGGTTGTGATGGCCCACATGTGATCAAAGTTGCTAACCATAACATCTGAAAGATTTCATATGATTTGTTTAAATAAAAAAAATTGTGTAAGATTGCTAGAATAATTGATTCTATGTGATGATAAGTGTTTATATTTCTGCAACAGATTATATAAACTACTTGGGAAGTATGTCCTCATAAATATTGTGTTTATAGAAAAAATATTGTAATTAGTTTCATTATTTAATTACAGCAATATGACACATGAGTGATCTGCCAAGGGAATGCATCCCTGGAAGACTTATATGAAGCTGGTCCCTATTTAGGTGTTAGTAATGTGGAGAAAACCCAGAAAAATCCACATCATTAGCCATGCCCAAACTGACTACCAGTGTGTTTTATTCACTTGGCTACTGGAGGACACTCATTTAAATTAAGAAAGTATCATTTGGAAATGAAAACGCTCAAGTTGTTAGTTGTGGAAAATTAAATACTTAGACTTTACACAGGGTAATACTGTTCCATGCATGCAAGTGCTATATGCTCTCCGTTGCAAGAATGATATAGCACATCTATCTTGCACTATATCATTATCACATTAAGTAAACGTAATACAGTGAAAACTGCTTAGGTGACCACCTGCATTCAACGGGCAAAAATTTCTGGCACCGAATAGTTTATCCATAGAATCTTCAAATAAGTTACCTGTGTTAAACAACCACCTGTGTAATGCAACCGTGGGCATTGATTTTTGGTCCAAAACAACATACAACAACTGTAATAAGTGACCATTTCCACGAATATATCTGGTCTAAACTATTGTTCAACGTTTCCTCCTTCCTAATATAATGAATTAGTGTAGCAACACCATTTCAGTTTGTTTGAAAAGCGAAAGCAATGCAAAGTGCTGTCATTAGAAGGTCGTGTTAAAGTTATCACAACAGCAATTAGCAGCAAAGTGTAACTGTGGGAAAACTAAATTTATTTTACCGTAGACCTACAGTATTGTCCTTGGGGGTATAAAATATTGTACACGATACAATTAATCGGCTGATCTCATCGTTTGATAAAATTTATTTTTGTATGTTTTAAATACATAATTTTTAAATTTATTTTTTATTGTGTTCTTTATCCTCAGTTAGAAAAGAGTTTGTACAGACTATAAATTGATAAATTCAATTTTCTTTTTCTTTTTTTTTTCACTATTCTCATTTATAGTTTAAAAATAATTTGCTGTATTCTTTAGTTATAGATATTGTAGGCCTCAAAAATCAGAAGAAAATGCAGATATGTTGCTTAATAATTAACGTTGGCATTGGTTTTTTTATTTGCCACAGGGTGTATGTTGGAAGCATCAGTTTCGAACTGAAGGAAGACACTATCAGGCAAGCTTTTCTTCCATTCGGTCCAATAAAGTCTATCAATATGTCTTGGGATCCAGTGACGCAAAAGCATAAAGNATAGGAAAAAAAACAATATTTTTATAATAAATAAATATTTTATTGAATTATATATCGATCATTTTGGTCAATACCTGTTGTCATCATTTCTGGTAGTAGCATGATTTCACATTCATAAAAGTTTTGATCGTTGCTTACAAAAAACTGATTTTAAGTGATTTTTGACATTGTCATTTCAAGTAAATGTCTTACAGTTAAAAAAAAATTGTATAGACTGGAACAAGTAATAATCTGAGTGTGCTCAATCTGGCAAATATGGTTGGTGTGATAGCACGTCCCATCTAAGTTATAACAGTTTCTGACGAGTTACCAAACTTGTGTGAAATTTGGCATTTTCATGGTAAAACACTACATCTGTTTTGTTGATCAATTCTGGCCTTTTCTGTTTGATGATATTACTCAGTTTGTTTATTCGATGGCAGTACACTCTCAAATCAATTGTTAAATTGTCTGGTAAAAGCTCAAAAAAAAAAAATTTTCTTAAAATCCCACCAAAGATAGCATCTCTCCTTAAGAACATGTGGAACCCATATATTGAGCTTTGAAATGAAACTAACTTGTTTCAAGTAATCATAAACAGTTCAATTTGACAAATTTAATCTCTTAGTGATTTCACATGTTGTTATTCGGCAGTTTGCTTCAATCGGTACCTTTACTTTGTTTTCATTGGCTTTAACTGGCCATCCAGAACGTGGTGCATCTTCAGTATTGAAATTGCGAGAATGAAATTTTGTAAACCAGTTTTGGCACTGTCATTCTGTCAACACATCATCTCCATATATGTACTACAATTTTTTTCTTGCTTGAACAGCATTTTGATTTTTTGGTAATAAAAAGCAAAATATGCCAAAAATGATGCTTTCAATTTTCCATATTTAATGGGACATCAAAAAATAAAACAATTATACAGAGTCAAGCAAAATTTTTTTACAAATAAGCCTTAAAATGTCAGCTATCAAAGTATATAATGAAAATTTGGTTTAAAATGAAATTGGCTGGTAAAAATACATCTAATTCCTCTAGTAATAAAAAAAAACTAAATTACTTTCTGAACAACCCAATACTTTAAGTCTCTTTTTATGCCTTAGTGAATTTAATCACATATAAGAAAACAATTTTTACATTTATTATGAAGGTAATA